ATGATGGGTGACCCCCTGGGAAGTTTTCTCGGTGAGCATGCGAGTGAGAACAAAGTATGCTGAAAAGACCCATGTTGGTATAGTGGGGACAGTACATCGTCGATCTAACGGCCAGGACAGCCCGTTTAGTGGGACCGGGGGCGTTACAATAAAGCATTCATCTTTCCTGTTAGGTCTCCTACATATTGGTGATAGATGGGGTCAACTTACTCAAGATTAGTTTCATACGTTAAGGTAAGAAACTTTTTCTTATGGGCTAGCCTTGACTAGTGCAATGCCTTTTATTGAGACGAATAATTGGGAATGGAATCATAATTTATAATTAGTGCCTAGTTCAAACCCTTCAACTAGACTAAGAACTTTCAACCGTCTAGAACACTTATCATCACAATTCAAGCACCCCACACTTACTCTAGAATTAGACTCGATCAAGAAGTGAATTCAAATTTGAATAATTGGACGGCTCAACAGATGATGTAACTTTAAACTTAAACGCCTAAGAGTAATTTAATACACATAATACATTTATAAGTTAAAGCAATAAATCGGTCATGATTATGTGCTCAAAAGTATAGAGTCCAACACGAGATAAGATCATACGTAATCAAACAATATCTTCCGTGCATCACAAGTAAGCAATCCAGCAAGAGTAACACGAAGAAAATATTTTTGAAATTTTACAAATTTCTCAGTTTTTATTGAATTTTCAAATTTTCAATTCAAAAGCAAAACATTGCCTAAACCATACGAGTACAACTTAAGCATTTTTGAACTCCCCCCATATGATGTACGTAGATGAAGCGCTTGTGAGAGCCTTGTGTCAACCGATATTAATCTACTCCTACGTAGCAAACGATCCATCCCCATCACACCAAAAGAAAGAGAAAAAGAGAAACTACGTAAAATTTTATAATCAATAGTTCCAAATAGATTAGTTAAGCCACGTGTCAAGCCCTCGTTAGACAATAGGAGATAGCGTGATTGTGCCCTTTCATAACTAGCTAGCAGAATGTCTGAGGTGACAAAGAATTTGTCCAAACTATTCTCATCCACCAGAAGACAATGGTGTAGATGTCATCCGGCAGCGACAACCACCCCCAGGCCGAGCCAAAACTAGACGAGCCAACAACACCTAGAGTTCTTACCATCTTGTCTTGTGTACTAGAGAAGCTAGTGGCATGTAATGACCAGCTAGTTCTCGGTTTGGCTCAGCTTGGGAAGAGCTTGAACGCCTTCGATGGCGTGAAAGCCCCAAGAATTACAATTCTGAATTATATAGAGAGAATATACAAATACACAAATTGTAGCCCCTCATGTTTCGTGGTAGGCTATGTGCATATAGACAGGTTGGTGCATAGGTATCCCAACTCGCTCGTGGTGTCACTCAATGTTCATAGATTGCTGGTTACATGTGTTATGGTGGCTTCTAAGATTCTCGATCATGTGTAAGTTCTCCCTCTCTCTAGTCCTATATGAAAATTTCGTACACGAGACATATGTTGAAAAAGTAAGTCTAGTATGCACATCTTAAGTTGCGTCGAAGATAAATAATTGTGTTGATTTATGACACATATTCTTGGACAGAGTTTTTGGTTGAAGATCAAAAAAAAAAAAAAAACAAAAAAAATATCGATGTCACTTATTTATGAAAAATTTGGGTCTTAGAGATTTGAGAAAGAAATGAACTTGGTACACAAAATGATATTAGTCGTGTTGTATCCATCTTATGTCTATGCTTTAGGCTCTTTTGATTATTGGATTGATCCTTTCTTAGAAGCTCTTCTACTTAAATTTGAAGAATTATTTTATTAGGATTTAGATAGGGAAATTAAACATGTTGTGTATGTCTTATCAGGCACTATAACAATGCATTTTATGCTCGTATTGGTGGAGTGACCAGTACAGAACTAAACAAGCTCGAAGTAAAGCTTCTTTTCCTTTTGGATTTCGGAGTAATCGTAAGATCTCGAGCATTTGAAAGCTATTGCTAGCATTTTTTTTTTATGACCGCGGATGTCAGGATATTGCCAGCACTTGGATAAAGAAATTATGTGTAATGACGCGACACAGATGATTGAGAGGCTACCAATTTCCAATTCTGTTGATTATGTTACTGAAATATCTGTCCAAGATATACAAACTTCTTCACCTCCGCAGATTGTAGATTGATCTCTTAATTATGTATTCAATTTTATCTTATAATCTACTGCTGTTCTTGAATGAAGGAGACACTTGAATCTTGAAAGCAATCATTGAATCGATACTTAAAGCAATATAGCACTCGAAGACTTCAATGCCAATTGTGGAAGAAAGGGACAACAAACGATTGAGCCAGTTACAACGAAATTGACTCAAAGGGAAGAGCAAACTACACATATCCTTCTCGTCTAATTTCATGAGTGTGCAAATATATTATTTCATTTTTTAAAAAAAATATTATTTATTTAATCAATGCAGATCTTTAAAACCGTCCAGCCGTTGAGGGAAGCAGAGAGCGAGTCCCAAGGTTAAGGAATGCAGATCTTTAAAACCGTAGTAACATTTTCCACATCAGCAAGAATATCAACTTTTTGTAGCCCACAATGTGCCACGTGGCGCTCACCCAAGCCCTCAAAATCACATCAAATAAATATATGAAGTAATCTCTTGCTATTTCTTCCTCTACTGTGAATATATGAATTAATTTAATTCTGCGATTTTCTTCCATTAATGCCGGTATATCAATTCTTAGAGTTGTTGCTTTACTTTTTGCTCTAAAATAAAAGGTTGGCGGGATTAATCGACTATTTTCATTTTTCATGGATATTATTATTAATGATAATGATCGGTTTGCTGATGTAAGGACTATGGACACCGCATATCTTCACATTGGTATGATATTGTCCACCTTAGACCTAAGTCCTCATGAATTTACTTTTGGGCTTTACCTCAAGAAAAATGCTACTTGTACATCAAGATTTGTATATAAGGGTATACACACCCCACTCACATAGGTGTGAGAGGGGTGCACACCCCGATGTACACCTTGATGTACCGATAGTAAAATCGTTACCTCAAAAGGCTTCATACCAATCGAGATATTGTTCATACTTATAAACTCGTGATGATCCCCAATTCTAACCAATGTGGGACTTTGGTTGCATATCAAACAATCATCCCTCGAACGAAGGACCACTGAACCTCCCTTCAAATGATCATACATCTATCCACTCTCTATCAACCAAGATTCTCCACTCTCATGTTCACAATGTTGGGGTCAGGACACGTCCATGAAGCACCTGGAGAGCAGTACTTGACTCGAAAGCTTGCTCTATCCATGTCAACTCACCTTCACAGTTTTGGGGTCAGGACACGTCCATGAAGCATCCGGAGTAAACCGCCAGTCCAATAGAGCTCATCCACAGATCCCATCGTGAGCAAACCGAGGCTCACCACCTTCGTTCTGTATTTCGAGGAATTCATCCACATGGCTAAATCTGGGGCTGGCCTTGATACCAATTTGTAAGGACTATAGACACCACATATCTCCACATTGGTATGATATTGTCCACTTTGGGTCTAAACTCTCATGAATTTGCTTTTGGGCTTTACCTCAAATGGTCTCATACCAATGGAGATATTGTCCGTACTTGTAAACTCATGATCCTCCCACTTCTAGCCAATGTGGGACTTTGGTCGCACATCCATCACTTTTGTTTAATCCAATAAAAGTCAAAATCCCGCCACAGAGTTTACAGATTCTTGATCGAAAACGTCAAAAAAAAAAAAAAACATGAAAATACTAAAGAAAAAGGGTGTTTTAGTTAGAGAGAGTAATTAGCATAAGGAGGCAAGAAATGGAGCCTCTTTGTGAGTTTTGTGGGGGAGGTGAGTGCAGTGGTTTATTGTAAATCGGATTCAGCTGAGCTTTGTTTGCAATGCGACGGCTGTCTGCACTGCGAATTCTCTGTAGTGTCGCCATCCTCATTCGCTAATTTGTGACAAGTGTAGTTCACAGGCAGCCACGGTGAGGTGTATTGAGGATAAGTTATCGCTTTGTGAGGATTGTGATTGGAATGGAAATAGTTGTTCAGGTGTTGGTCATCATCGTTTAAAGTTGAATTTCTACACTGGATGTCCTTCTCTGGCTGAATTCTCCAAAATCTGGTCTTCAATTCTTGAATCACCGCAGCAAACTACAAGTAGTTTTGGGAGTGCAATGGCTACAAATGAGAATTCTAACATGGTTGTGCCCTTCTAAAATGACTTAGCGTCGTGTGTTAAGTTTGGATCATGGGCTGTTCCACCACCACCATCTCCACCTCCTCTTCCATCTACTAATAATTCCGACTATTTAACAGTATGCAGTAGAGATCAGAAATTCCTATATGATAGAGATCAAAATTCCTTTTTCTCTGACAATTGCTTCTAATAAGAAGACTTGCTCTCTTTTTTTGTGTCAAATTGTGTGTTGTTTTACCAGGATTGTGCTATTATAACGGATCTCAGGCCTCCTGAAACTGATGACCTCTGCGATAGTCTTGACATGGATGATATTGGTTTGAGCTTTGACAGTAGTTATGAAATGTTCGGCAATTCACAAGGTCAGCCAAGATACAACTACGAAGATGGAGGAATTTCTAGCCTATTAATGGAGAAAAACCTGTCGGTCACTCTATCAAATAGCACTCATATTGAAAGTGCTTTCGAGGTTCAATTCCACAACTCGAGTTTCTATAGATTTTCATGCCCCATTACTATATATTATTATTTTCTCATCACCCTAAACAGGCATTCAATACTCTGTACAAAATTTAATTGTGTTTGCTTTGAAAATTAATATTTCTTCAATATTTTTTAGGCATCCTCATCAGGGCATATAGCTGCTTGTTCAAGAAATTTAATGCAGGCGGTGAGTAGTGCGAATTGCGTGCTTATGAACCCAGCAGCTGCATGCAACAGATCAAGTATGGGATTAGGGTTTCCAAATGGCCAACTTCCTTCAACCATATCCCTTACTCTCCAATATCACTGGAGAAAGCAATACTGCTGATTATCATGATTGTGAACTGTACCGTACCGGATAAAGCTAAGATGAGATACAAGGAAAAGAAGAAGACATGAATGTATGTATTTCTTCTGGTCTTTCCTTTGATGAATTCATGTGTAAATTTCTAATTTTTCCTTCTGCCAAATAATGCAAAAAGGTTTATATGTTCCGATGTAATTAAGAATATGACATGACTGAACATAAAAATAGAATATAGACGTTACACTTGGCCCAATTTTATATGTGCTTGATCTTATCTAATAGCTTGCCACGTTCTTCTTTAATCTTGAACTCGTATTTAGTACATTAAATTGAATATAGCTTCACATAAAAATTAGTGTCTTTCGTTGTTTTTATCATTGAACGTTATATATGTATATTGTGCTAAACATGGAGTTGCATTTTATGACAGGTCATGTGAAGTAGCTTAGAAATTAGAATCGACATCGTCCAGGTGAGAGTTCCTATTATGTCATTTCATTTGTATCATTGTATGTACATGTGAGTTATTTCATTTTTCTATCATTAGTTTCTAATTCATTATCTCGTTACTATTATTTTGTAGGACATCAGAGTGTTTTTCTTTGGAGACCGAAAAATTTGGTCATTGGAACTTTTATTAACTTTCGAATTCTGTGTATCAAGGATACCCTAGCAAAAGTACGTCGTCTACAATAATTTGTTAATTTGTATGTCTCGAATTTACATTCTCTTCGCCATTTGTCACAAATGCTGCTATAATAAGCTTCCAAAATGTAGGTTTTATGAGTGACATTTGTCCTTTCTTTTTCATATTTAACTCTTTTATTTTTTTATTTTTGTTTTTTGGTATGAATGTTCATTATTTATTAATCAAATTAGAGGCCTAGATATAATTCAAGTATGCACAAAAAGTCCCCTTTTAGTCTTGGATAGTTATATTCACACCACAATTTTTATTAACTGCATTACTGCACCATGTTATAATTTCAAAGTCTTCAAGTTTAGCTCACTCTAGCACTTGTTGTCAACTTTTTCCATCAAAAAATATATTTAATCTTCAATTAATTAGCACATCTTAACTTTAATGATGCTTTTTGTCCAAATATTCTGTTCACGTGGGAAAAATCTTTTGTCGAACTTTTATATTTAATGTTTATTTTGCTTATTTAAAAACATGAGACAAATAAGTTTTTTTTTTTGCCCAATCCTAATATATTTTATAGCGTCATTGGGACAATATATGCTAATTAATATAATATTGAAGATAAAAATATGATGAAAATGTTGAGGACATAAGTGCGAAAATGAAAAAAAGTTTAAGGACCCTCATTGTACTTAATTTGTAGTATAATTAACAAAAACTGTGAATATAATTATCATTCAAGTATACGCCATTACTAAGTGTGTACTTTAGATACAATATTAAACCATTAATTCATGTATGCACAAAATTCCCATATATGTACCGCTATAAAGCCTTCGTTTGGAAAAAATTATGATCATTTATAAATGATCAAAATACATTTTAACATACATTACAATATACTTACAAATATTATCTATTTATCCATCACTTATTTTTATATGTTTATAAATTCTTCCACTAAACAGTGGCTAAGTTTGTACTTTAGATACAATTTTAAATAAGAAAAGAAAAATCGAAACTCCTGTAAACTTATATGGTCAGCATTTTAAATTGCTACAGATGGAGTGAGGAAGATGTGTAAAAGTGAGTTGGGTTAAATAATCTCGTCCCAAACATAACCTTGTTTTGATTTAACTTGTGTTTATCATGACTTAAGATAGGAGAACCAGCGTGTTTGAAAAGGAGGGTTGCATTGAGCCTAAGTTTTGTACAACGCCGTCAATCGAATCTCCATGCGTACGAAGAGGTTGCACCACCAAATTGCACTTTCATGAGTTGGTGTCAGAGTTGGAGGTCCCATATTCAAAACGATATCCCAGGAGCATGCTTGAAACGAGATTGAGTTTAATTAACTGGGCTTAGAGTAGATTCTTAGACTTTAATTATGTGTAAAATAGACTAAATTGTATTGATCGTGGCATGAACTATAACTTTTGATCAAAGTTATGACAAAATCCAACATCATTTTGTCAGTTTCAATCTAACTTGTTATAAGAAATTTTATCACGTATCTTCTGTAAACTAAATGCGCCTTTCAGATAATTGATTAACAACGTAAACTTTGTGGGTCTGTCATTTTCTACTTTTGGTACACATCTTGTAATCCTAAGTTAACAATATAACTAACTAGTAATTGATATTACATATAAAAGGTAAACCCACACGATCAAAGTGAGATGATTCTTTGGTACTCTTAACAGAAAGTCACAACATTTTTGGAGGGAGACTTTTCAGTTGACACAAAGAATAGCTACTGTAAAGAGTGGGAAATTTGGTCACAAATTTATCCTAAAGAATCTTATGGATGTATACTGTTAAGAGCCGTGCCATACAGCCTTTTTTCATTTTTCTTTTCAAAATCTTAGCTAGAGATAATATTCTTTGCTATTATCATGGGAAGAGGTTGAAGTGGAAAGATTAAGAACCATAGAATTGGGGATGCTTAATTTTGTTTATTCAAACTAAATATAGTCGATTTTGGTTTATATTTATGACATAATTTTTGTTTGTTATGCTACGTTTTAATTGCAATGAGTATCTTTTAACTTTTGCTTATTATCGCTGATCAAATAGACACCACAGTTTTTTGTTTTTTTACGCAACATTTTAATTGCATTGAAGTTATCTGACATTCGCTCATTGTTATATTTATATCCCAACTTTTTCTTATCCCAATCCTCCACACACACACATTCTAATGATGGTTTCCATCCAAAAAAATCTGAGTTGGATAAGTCCTCTCACATGGATAAGTCCTTGATTGGATATTGTAGGTGGATAGATTCTGTTACTAGAAATGTCAAATCTTGAAACAACTTTTTTTCAATCTTTTTAATACCTTATGTTAGGTTTTAAGTTGTATTAGCAATTTTTTAGACAAAATAATTATTATAAAAGAGTTGTAAAAGTCAAAGAATCTTTTGGGTGGTATATAGATGAACTAGGAGTATTTGGGTCCGAGTATAGAATATGGAGAAAGAGTCGCCAAAATTATACTGATACTTAAGCATCCAAAACAGAAACATTGTCGTTCGACTGTCGCTAAAGCGACGGTATTTTTCAATAAACTCTAGTTCGCGATTTTCAAGAGGTATATCTATCTTATACTACCCAAATACTTATTATAAATACCAAATGCCCATTACGTTTTTTGGGTGGTTGATCATTATTTTCTACCTTTGTAACATCCTTTAAAGATCAACTAACAATTCTATATCTTGAGATCAATCAACCACAAGTTGGGAAAACATCAAAATCATATAATCTAAAACACCACTTCCTAAATATACACTTTTCGATAGCTTTTAGAGGTTGTTGAGAATCAAGGGAAGTTGGACCAGAAGCACAGGAAGAGTACAAGAACATGTTTTTGGTGATCCATAGGAGATAGACAATTTCAGAAGATTAGGATCAGGTGTGCGTGAAGCACATTCCAGATTGCAAGAATTAGATTAGCGAGTCTAGTGGGTTTTTTAGGCAAGATCATACCGTAAATTCTTATTGTCTGTCCCGAAGTACAGAAAATAAAAGCAAAACTTCACCAACGAAATTATTAAAAATAGATAACGGCAACGACAAGCGTGCAGTCTCGACTCAAATCAATTCTGGTCATCGTCTCCTTCCTACATAGCCTTCACGGGAAGCCCTGTTACAAGTCTCTCCAATCCTTTTGGCTACTGAACAATCATCCCTCACATTCAAACATGCATTTCCCTCTACTTCATTTTACTCCCCCATTTTCCTTTTCCCTTTCCCTTTTCTTTCCCCTTTCCTGGTCCCTTTGCTGATCCTTTACCTTTCTGCTTTCCTTTTGTTTCTTTTCCCCACTTGTTCATTCCATGCTTCCTGGCATCCTTTGTCATTTGTCTATCAACAAGAACTTTCCCCTTTCTAGCCTTGACTTGGACTCCCTTCTTTGCTACCACATATTCCTTCTTAGGTTTTTTAGGTGTTGCCTTCTTATAAAGTTGTTCGATCATTTTACTCTTTGAATGGTCTAATATTTTTGTCTGATCCGATATAGAGTTGGCCTTCTTGCGTACCTTTTCTAGCTGCCTATAAACAACTCGTTTCTTTCTAGCTTTCGCTTGTGCCACCTTCTTTGCTGGCCGAGCATCAATTTCTTTGAATTGTGCTCTCATTGCATCAATCTCCTCTTTTATCACAGGCTTCATTGGTTGGTAATGCTTCTTTCCTCATCCACAAACCACTTCGGTAATCCCTCATCATGGAACATATATTTGTTGTACGCATCATCAAGAATCTATTCCCTCTGCTTTTTCGTCAGCATCTATTGTGCACAAGCCAATATCTCTCTTTTGAACTAATGTCGTCTTCATCTGAGTCATTTAATGAATCACTAGAATCTGTATGTGGAGCAAGAATTATCTTAAAATCATCATCCACCTTGGAAACTTTTACTGTCAATATTTTTCTTGTCTTTCTCGAACCTTTGAGTTTTTCTGGTGAATCTTCAATTGTCTTCTCCTGAATTGTAGGACGTTCAACTGGCATATCCATCTACATTTCTTCTTCGCTATCATCATTCTCCAAGTCTTCTCTTTCATCGACATCCATAAAGACATCTTGACTGAACCATTCTGTTGCAATCTCCTCCTGACTCTGTGCATTCTCTAATAGTGGTACAACAAGCGGATTCACCTGATGATCTCCATCATTATCGGAGTCTCGATCAGAATGAAACATATTATTATCATCATCAGCCTGTCCAAACCATAAAGAAAAATACATATTTAGCAAAGAAATGCATTTTCTGAAAACAAAATAGAGCTCATTCATTCTTTTTAGTGCATATTTGATGGAAGAGGAGAAAAATGTAGCTTACCTCTAAGAGTTTATCGCCCTCGGAATGGGCTTGTTTTGTACATTTTCTCTGCTTCGTACTTCCTTCCTGTTTAGCTACAAATCTTTCGTAGGCTTCATCAAGTAACTCCTGCAGTTGCTTACCATACCTGAAAGCATAATAATGTTAGCTTATAAAAGGATCGAGAACAGACCACACTTTACAAGCTTGGGTCCAAGTTAAGAGGAAACAACTACCACTGGTGTTCTTCATCAGTGTCTGCATCACTAGATGTGTCCCATTGGGCTTCCTTACGGCTTCATTCGCTGTCACTACTTCTAATTTCATCATTTTTACCATCATATTCATCATTATCAACATCCACAAGTTCTTTCTTCCCCTGAATGAAAGCATTCCAAAGAGAGAATAATATTACAAGTGTAGACCAAGCAAATACTAGATTTCGTGTAAAACTGACAAAAAGTACACAATTGGATTCCTATACAATATACGAAATGACATCCCTATATTTAAAAGGGAACCAAATACAATATGGATTAGAAGAATTTCCATCACTTTATATAGTGAAAAGGCAAATTTATTGAAAAGGGAAAAACGCTCAACATCACCAATTCAGCAAAATTTAGTTAAATTTGATAAACATAAATAAGAAAATAAAATCATTGTTGGGTTTCCATTTGATTTCTTCCATGAAAGATAACAGTTATAAAATGTTCCAAGAGTAAGAAGAAAACCACATGACTTTATACTGAATAGAAACATGCGCCAATTAATATAGGCTAAAAATGACTGATCTTTCGATCTGGTAATGTAATAATAAATGAAGGAGAAATATACAATGATAGAAGTTAGAGTGAACAATTCATGATCGGTGTATCCATCCTCCGTCACGTCTATTTGCTTGCCTAATGCTTTCCTAGCTTTGTCATGCAGAAAAGACGAAAGCATTTACTAGACAAAGCATGATATATTGAACTTAAACAAGTAAAAATGAGAATTAGTAATGTATTTAAAGAGTACAAAAATATCGACAGCAAAAACAGAGATTACATGCAAGTACAACAACAAACCCAGAGGAAAAGATGAGCTGGTGATATACAGGACAACCTAACTAGAATTAGGAACAAGTTTTGTATATAGCATAGGTAGAAATGTGTAGGAATTGAACCATAGAAAAATCCATCAAAGACTGATGGGTAAGCATACATGCTAGGAGGCAATATTGCCATATGATATCATCCAACGATCAATTTAGACTTAAGTCTTAATATAATGCATCAAGAACATAAAGTTCTACAATAAACCTAATCTAGGAATAGACCCCAAGTCTCAAAAATCCCCGTGATACTTATCGAACATGGTGGCTAAAATCCCAGCCTTGATACACATTTCTAAGTCTTATATTATTAGTTGCAAAATTGTTACTAGATCAACAAATCAGGTTACATCTAAAATTTAGAAGCTTTGTTCCACATAGCACTGACAATATTTCAGTAACACCCAGGTTTCACTATGCTATGCCCTCTTAACCAGCAAATAATCTAGCATGGTAGAAAGCATACAGTGATAAAAATAAGCATGGTGGCTATTCCCCATTGCTTGATACAAAATAAGATAAAAAAAAAGTATCCTAGTATCATCAACTGATTCACCTGCCTTCTTAATTAAATGTTAACTGACAATAGCTTTAAAGAACCAACATAATAGCTCAAACTAATTCATGTTTGCTTAATCTTATCTATTGACTATGTATCTTAAGAAAAGAACCTAATAAAGCAGAAAGGGATTCATAAACATGGGCAATAACCTTAGCTTGTCTCTTTGCTAGAAGTTTCTTTGCCTTTTCTTCTTCTGATCCATGACATTCGTCAGCTCCTCCATTTCATTAAGCATCCTATCATCTTCATCTTCTTTGCCCTCCTATTCCACAACCATCGTAGTAGAAGTAGCCTTCTCTGTAGGAGACAGTGCCTTCCTTATTTACATACGCCATCTACACCACAACACAAACATTGAAGGCACAAGATCATTCAAGAGAAACACAGAATCACCAAATATGGTAAACAGTTATCCGTGTATGGTTGGTTCTTTGTATGTTACATTATGCACAAGCTTCCTTTAAAAGATGCTTGAAGTCTTGCTTCCCCAAGACACAAAGATCATCACGTAGAGATATAACCTATCCCACATTTGAAGGAAAAGGCAGTTTAATTGTTCAGAGAACGAGATAGTGAAGCTAGCAGATTGCCTATGTTTACTAACAACGATGATGATTATGACTTTGCTCTCTTATGAATTAAAAAATGAAAAAGAAAAGAGTAAAACCACCTCTCTTTGGTTGTCAAAGTATGATCCTTGATTGGTAAACATGCAGGATCTTCAAATGTTATAGAAGTAACTGAACCAATGATCTCAAGGGGAGATCCATACCAAATTCTGCTGCAGAGCTGACCTTCCACAATGTTGTGTCTCCATCTTCATACCTGCAAAGGAAACCTAATCAATACGATAAATAAATTTAGGTGTATACTTTATATGAAACTTACATCAGAGATTTGTGAAAAGTACAAAGAAGATAGACAAGATTGAATATGGATTTTATTGATTTAGAGAGACCCTATTTTAGAGTGTAGGGGAAGTATAATGGTGGGTATTGTAGACAAAGAATTATCCACATTATTAAGGATGTACAATGGTGTAGTCTTGAGATATAGTGAAGGTGGAAGGCTTACATGAAGGATCTGTATTGGGTATTATCTATTTGATTTAGAAGTGGTAAGCTTAAGAAACAATCCAAGATTAGAATTATTGGTGTTTGGTATTCGATTATGACGTCGATAAAACTAGAAAAGGGATGAAAGTCGAAAGACGACAATAGTACAATTGCATCTACATTCCTAACATTAAGCGTCATGATCACCATGCCAGTTCTCCAATGTGTGAAAAAAGTACGTGCATACTCAAGCATAAATATAAAATAGGCTCCCAGCCATTCTCTTAAATGGTAATCACACAACATTGCTTTTTCGCAAATGATTGTAGACGAAAGTCGCACTGATGAGGACCACGTAGCAATAGTAGCTACGCAACCCAACAACGATATTGAAATCAATCCAAGAAAGTCCAAATCCAGGTTGTAGACGATAGAATCCTGACCCGAGCCTCTCGAGCCAAGAACCTAAGGTATATTAAACTTTAGACTCATTGATGTCATTTAAAATCTCGGCAAACTTAGACCTAAGCCCCTCGAACCAAGAACCTAAGGTATATTAAAGTCTCGCCAAAATTTTCTTATATGCGTCTGCATAGAAGGTTTCTATACGATCGTATAGAAGCCTCAATACCTGCCCTCAAGTTCTCTGCAGGTGCTTATGCGGTTGCATGGCATTTTGTACTATGCGACCGCATAGCACTACTTTTCCATATCTCGCCCCTTTGCCATTTTCAAAGCTTTCTACTCATTTTCGGCCTTCGATCCCTTCATGAATCTTGTCCATTGGCTTGTTGGCTTTGACATCTTGGACTCCAAAGCTCGATCAAATGATTACCTATCCCGGGTTATATCATGCATGTTCCATGAATTAGTGAGAAGAAAATATACCCATCATGGTGTCACTTTTGCTTTGTTCCTCTAAGAACATCCAGCACGATGTAGAAAGATAAAATACAGATAAGGTGAGAGTGATTGGATTACCTTTGGAGGCTATTTACCTCCTTGGAAGAGGCACTTTACATCAACAATTCGTGGATCAATTTTAGTAGGTGCCTTATACTTGAAACCCACAATATAAATTTCTACTGATGCTGAACGACTAGCTTGTGGTTTATCCACTTCAACCTTCTCAAAGAGCTGTACAAAACATTCATAGGTGAGAAAAGGGCTTACATTGAACAGTTAGTTCTCGGTTTGGCTTAGCTTGGGAAGAGCTTGAACGCCTTCCATGGCGTGAGAGCCCCAAGCATTACAATTCGGAATTATATAGACATAATATACAAATACAAGAATTGTAGCCCCTCGTGTTTCGTGGTAGGCTATGTGTATATAGATAGGTTGGTGCATAGGTATCCCGACTCGCTCCTGGTAGATTGCTGGCTACATTTGTTATTGATGCGAACCCAGCCAAGAATATATCTTAGGAACCCATGAACAAGTTGAAACCAACCCAAGAAAGCTAGAAATCATGTCTCACAATAGTAACTTGACTTGTTGTTCACCCTGTACCAAGAACCAAGATCACGCGTTAGAGATCTAACCCATTGATTACCCGGAACAAGAACCGTGAAGTGGGAACATCATAAAAGGACTGTGTCCATTTGATAAGTTCAAGGTTAGAACTTTAAACCACCAAGAACATTGAGGAATAAACTCCCAAATTGTATATTCAATCTCAAAATAATCAAAGTCTTCTTTACAATGAAGAAATAAAATCTTATTTATACTAAAGCCCTAGAATCTAGTTTTAAACGGAAATAATTCGTAAAATATCACAAAATAACAAAAGGAATAAAATTCTAACGTATTTAGGTAACTTGCCAAAAACCAAAAATCTCGCCCAAAATTTGGCCTATGCGACCTTATAGAGTAATGCATTGGGGTCGTATAGACCACAAGCTTACCCCTCGTTCATTCTCTGTATGTGCCAATGCGGTCGCATGGCAATATGTGCTATGCGACCGCATAGCATTAATTTTTGCCATGGTTTTCTTCTTTGCCCATTTCAATTGTTTCCACTTCCTTTTGGCCATAAACATCAGCATGTAACTCAACAATTGGACCACCAACTTCAACCTCTTGGACTCCCCTGCTCGAGCCATGGTTTGTAAAACGTCATCAAGCCGAAGCAACCTCGAACGAGCCCTAAGCCTCTTCTCAATGAACTTCGAATCTCCGTCCACTTGAGGCCTAGCTCGGATCATATCAATTATGGTGGCTTCCAAGATTCTCAAAGAGCTGTATAGAACATTCGTAGGTTAGAAAAGGGCTTACATTGAACAGATATTCTTGGCCACATTCGTTGGAAAGAATATTACCTATATAAGATAGAAAAGGACACCAGTATAATATTGGGATCCAATACCTACAAGACAACACTAGACATGACATCATTCAATCATTCATTGCATCTGCATTATAATGTTGAGTACACTAGTTACTGAGACTAAATAGAGTGCAAAACATATTAGGCAAAATGCATTATAGTATACCATAACAAACTTTGAAACCCAATAAAGCATTGAGTTACCAATACATGATAGTACATTATAACATTAGCACTTGTTATCTTGAAACCATTAAGGGAACCAAAATTGTACTAAATGAACATTAAAAAGAAATTCATATAAAGTTCTGCCTAGGCACCAAAATTTATTAGTGGAAAATTATAAGAAATTATGTAAATAGAATGCAATGGAATTCATGTGAAGTTCAAGCACCCAAAATTTATTTGTGGAAAATTACACCGAACACAAAAATACTAGCACTTGTGTACATATAATACAATCGGAGCCACTTGTTTATTCATGCAATAGAGTACCATCCCCATTTTTGGTGCACGGGATAAATTTCAAAAGCACTAAAATCAAATTTCTTCAACTTTAGTGCCTGTAACGGTTATTGTGTCATATGCACAATTAACTTTTCTCAGTTATATTAAATATTATGCTGCATCAAAGCCAATGTTAATTTTGCTAAAAAAAATCAAATTCAAGTAATTATATTCAGATAAAAAATATGTAAAATTATTCAAATAACATGTACCATGGTGACAAAAGTTCCTTTGGGAGCCAAAAGCTCCGTAGCAAGCTTAACCGAGTCAATCACCAGAGAATTCCGACTGGTACCCTCCCTAGCCCACGCACCACCAACATTAGGTGAGTCGTCGTGCAACACCAAGTCGAAAGCTTTGCATCCATTCTCTACCATGTGTTTCTTAACCAATGCTCTACACTTAGCCTGGGTGATATCCTCATGTACGGAGATGGTGCCGCGGATTGGTCAAAAATCGGGTCGAGGTCGACGCTGATTACTAAAATTTCGATGATCATCTTCTCGACGACCACTTGCATCCATCCACCTAGCGCGGTATAGAGGTCAAGCACCGAATTAGCGGAACGGAGAAAGCTGAACTTTGAACCAACTTCCATGCGGCTTGAGATCTGTAGCCATGCTCTTTTGCCAAGTGGTAGTACTTATCCAAATGATGTTTACCCTTTACCTTCCCCATTGGTGTGAAATTGGAGAGGAAAACGAGTTTATACTAAGTGAAATTGAGGAAATACGTGTTAATGGCCTTTAAAATCAACAATATTTCAACTTTGGCCTTTGACCAATAAATAGTATTAAAAAAAGCCAAAACCTCATTGTAAACAACTAAAAGGAAAAAATACCCCTCACTCTCACACTCACTTTGAAAGGACGAAAAACAGCAAAAAATGAAAAAATGGACCACTCCACAGCTAGAAAAACCCAACACCACACCGACAGTTGCGACCACCACATCGATGTTATCGAGACCGGCATCGACAAACACAAAGGAAAAATGGCTTGTGTTTAACAACCGACTTTTTTCATAGATTGTGTTTGAATTATTTTCACATTTTTTAATTTTAATTCATCATATATTCATAGATCAGCTTGAGTGTTAGTGATATGGGTTAAATTTTGGTGTTTTAATGTGTTAATAGCTCTTTTTTAGCTTTCCATCGCCAAAAATGGCTATTTACGACATTTTCTATGACAAATCGACTGACAAATAGCTGGTTACGCTGCAGCCAGTCTAACAGCCGATCGACCTGCTAACCGACTATTAACAAGCATTCTAACAGCCAGTCTACTGGCTAAACCGGCTGTTAAGAGGCCTGCCTGTTAACAACCGATTTTAAACAAGCCGGACTTGAGCTGACTGTCATTTGGGCCCCAACGATATTTTTTTGGCCAGCCTAGATACATTTTTTATTTTATCTCATCATATATGCGTTGATCAGCTTGAGTTTTAGTGATAGGGGTGAAATGTTGGTGTTTTAATATATTAAGAGCTCATTTTTATGCTTTCCATTGCCGGAAATGGCGATTTTTGACCATTTACCGACCGTCAAATGGCCGATTATGTTGCAGCCGATTGTCCAGCTATTAATAGTCGGTTGACCTACTAACCGATAGTTAACAAGCGGTCTAACATCTGGTCTACCGGCTAAAACGAATGTTAACAGGTCGGCCTTTAATAGGCCGGTCTGTTAACAGCCAATTTAAACAAGTCGGACTAGGCCGGCTGTCATTTGGGCCCAAGCTGATATGTTTTCTAGCCGGCCCAGACATTTTTTTATAATTAAGAAATGATTATTAAAAAATTAAATAATCAAGAAGTTGCAGATCAATTTTAGCATGTGCCTTATACTTGAAACCCACAATATAAATTTCTGCTGATGTTTAACGACTAGCTTGTGGTTCATACACTTCAAGATTCTCAAAGAACTGTACAGAACATTCGTAGGTGAGAAAAGAGCTTACATTGAACAAAGATTCTTGGCCACATTCGTTGAAAAGAATATTACCTGTCTAAGACAGAAAAAGGACATCAGTATAATATAGAGGTGNAATTTTCTAACGGTAATATCATCCCCTTCATCGATAAATTTCAATTTATTCTTACATTTATTTTTACAATACCCTCTCATTAGCTATTATACATTTATACTTCATAGTTCATACTTGTTACTACCTTACTACAATTACAATTATTCAATTGCAAATATCATCATCATCTTGATTATATTTCTTCTTCTCGGTTCTCATTAGTCACTACTAAATTTTTTAATCCTACTATATTATGGATTCTCGCGATTCTTCTTCTTAAAATCCTATTTTCAATGATAGTTGCTCTCCATATGGGCCAAATTGGAAAAATTCTATATTTTTATAATTTTATTTATACAATCATACGGGCCAAACCGGAACGAACCGCGACCCGTGACCCGCATTGGCTCAACCCGGATGGGTCAGCGGGCGGGCCTGGGTTGTAGTCTAAAATTGTGGGCCGACCCGTAATCGGCCCGGAACCCGCAGCGGGCGGGCTTTTTTTCACGCGGGCCGTTACCGGGCTCACATGTTGGCGGGCCGCCCCGGCCCGGACCACCCGGATTGACACCTCTAGTATAATATTGGGATCTAAAAACTAACAAGACAACAATAGATTGTCTTTTAATTATTTTCACATTTTTTATTTTATTTCATCATATATTCATAGATCAACTTGAGTGTTAATGATAGGGGTGAAATTTTGGTGTTTTAATGTGTTAATAGCTCATTCTTGAGCTTCCATCACCGAAAATTGCGATTTCAGACCATTTTCGATGACAAATCGACTATCAAACAGTCGATTACGCTGCAGCCGATCGATCAGCTGTTAACAAGCATTCTAACACCCAGTCTACCGATTAAACTGACTGTTAACAAGCCTGCCTATTAACAACCAATTTGAACAAGCCGAACCTGGGCCAGCCGTCATTTGGGCCGAGGCTAGTATGTTTTCTGGCTGACCCAGACATTTTTTAATTTTATTTCATCATATATGCGTATATCAGCTTGAGTGTTAGTGATATGGATGAAATTTTGGTGTTTTAATATATTAATAGCTCATTTTTTAGCTTCCATCGTCGGAAATGGCGATTTTCGGCCATTACCGGTCGTCAAATAGCCGGTTATGCTGCAACTGATCGACCTGTACATGTACCATGGTGACAAAAGTTCATTTGGGAGCCAAAAGCTCCGTAGCAAGCTTAACCGAGTCAATCACCAGAGCATTCCGACTGGTAGCCTCCCTAGCCCACGCACCACCAACATTAGGTGAGCTGTCGTGCAACACCAAGTCGAAAGCTTTGCATCCATTCTCTACCATGTGTTTCTTAACCAATGCTCTACACTTAGCCTGGGTGATATCCTCATGTACGGAGATGGTGCCGCGGATTGGTCAAAAATTGGGTGGAGGTCGACGCTGATTACTAAAATTTCGATGATCATCTTCTCGACGACCACTTGCTTCCATCCACCTAGCGCGGTACAGAGGTCAAGCACCGAATTAGCGGAACGGAGAAAGCTGAACTTTGAACCAACTTCCATGCGGGTTGAGATCTGTAGCCATGCTAAAAACGGTTCACCATCATGAATAGGTTTACTACAAATGGGAAATGGAAGGGGTAACCACACTTTAACCTCTCCTTTTGCTCAAATATGATTCACTTTAACTCCTTTATGCACAATTACCGTAAAAAAATCAACAATATTTCAACTTTGGCCTTTGACCAATAAATAGTATTAAAAAAGCCAAAACCTCATTGTAAAAAACTAAAAGGAAAAAATACCCCACTCTCACACTCACTTTGAAAGGACGAAAAACAGCAAAAAATGAAAAAATGGACCACTCCACAACTAGAAAAACCCAACACCACACCGACAGTTGTGACCACCACATCGACGTTATCGAGACCGGCGTCGACAAACACAAAGGAAAAGGTTGTTTTTTGCCTTTAACAACCGACTTTTTTCATAGATTGTGTTTGAATTATTTTCACATTTTTTAATTTTAATTCATCATATATTCATAGATCAGCTTGAGTGTTAGTGATATAGGTTAAATTTTGGTGTTTTAATATGTTAATAGCTCTTTTTTTAGCTTTCCATCGCCAAAAATGGCTATTTACGACATTTTCGACGACAAATAGCTGGTTACGCTGCAGCCAGTCTAACAGCCGATCGACCTACTAACCGACTATTAACAAGCATTCTAACAGCCAGTCTACTGGCTAAACCGGCTGTTAAGAGGCCTGCCTGTTAACAACCGATTTTAAACAAGCCGGACTTGAGCTGACTGTCATTTGGGCCCCGACGATATGTTTTTTGGCCAGCCTAGATACATTTTTTATTTTATCTCATCATATATGCGTTGATCAGCTTGAGTTTTAGTGATAGGGGTGAAATGTTGGTGTTTTAATATGTTAAGAGCTCATTTTCATGCTTTCCATTGTCGGAAATGGCGATTTTTGACCATTTACCGACCGTCAAATGGCCGATTATGTTGCAGCCGATCGTCCAGCTATTAATAGTCGGTTGACCTACTAACCGATAGTTAACAAGCGGTCTAACATCTGGTCTACCGGCTAAAACGAATGTTAATAGGTCGGCCTTTAATAGGCCGGTCTGTTAACAACCAATTTAAACAAGTTGGACCTAGGCCGGCTGTCATTTGGGCCCAGGCTGATATGTTTTCTAGCCGGCCCAGACATTTTTTTATACTTAAGAAATGATTATTAAAAGATTAAATAATCAAGAAGTTGCAGATCAATTTTAGCATGTGCCCTATACTTGAAACCCACAATATAAATTTCTGCTGATGTTTAACAACTAGCTTGTGGTTCATACACTTCAAGATTCTCAAAGAACTGTACAGAACATTCGTAGGTGAGAAAAGAGCTTACATTGAACAAAGATTCTTGGCCACATTCGTTGAAAAGAATATTACCTGTCTAAGACAGAAAAAGGACATCAGTATAATATTGGGATATAAAAACTTACAAGACAACAATAGATTGTCTTTTAATTATTTTCACATTTTTTATTTTATTTCATCATATATTCATAGATCAGCTTGAGTGTTAGTGATAGGGGTGAAATTTTGGTGTTTTAATGTGTTAATAGGTCATTCTTTAGCTTCCATCACCGAAATTGCGATTTCAGAACATTTTCGACGACAAATCAACTGTCAAACAGTCGATTACGCTGCAGCCAATCGATCAGCTGTTAACAAGCATTCTAACACCCAATCTACCGACTAAACCGACTGTTAAGAGGCATGCCTATTAACAACCAATTTGAACAAGCCGAACATGGGCCGACCGTCATTTGGGCCGAGGCTGGTATGTTTTCTGGCTGACCCAGACATTTTTTAATTTTATTTCATCATATATACGTATATCAGCTTGAGTGTTAGTGATATGGGTGAAATTTTGGTGTTTTAATATGTTAATAGCTCATTTTTTAGCTTCCATCGTCGGCAATGGCGATTTTCGGCCATTACCGGTTGTCAAATAGCTGGTTATGCTGCAACTGATCGACCTGCTAATTGACTGTTAACAAGCGGTCTAACATTCGATCTACCGGCTAAACCGAATGTTAACAGGCTGACCTGTTAACAGCCAGGTTTTAAACAAGCCGGACCTAGGCTGGTCGTCATTTTCGCCGAGACTGATATATTTTCTGGCCGGCACATACATTTTTATAATTAAGAAATGATTATTAAAAAATAAAATAATCAAGAAGTTACAGATCAATTTTAGCAGGTGCCTTATACTTGAAACCCACAATATAAATTTCTACTGATGCTTAACTACTAGCTTGTGGTTCATCCACTTCAACCTTCTCAAAGAATTGTATACAACATTCGTAGGTGAGAAAAAGGGCTTACATTGAGCAGAAATTCGTGGCCACATTCGTTTAAAAGAGTATTACCGATCTAAGATAGAAAAGGACATCAGTATAATATTAGGATCTAAAAACCTACAAGACAACAATAGACATGACATCATTCAATCATTCATTGCATCCGTATTATAAGGTTGAGTACACTAGTTACTGAGGCTAAATCGAGTGCAAAACATATCAAGCAAAATGCATTATAGTATACCATAACGAACTTTAAAACCCAACAAAGCATTAAGTTACCAATACATGATAGTACAATATAGAATCAGCACTTGTTATCTTGAAACCATTCAGGGAATCAAAATTGTACTAAATGAACATTAAAAAGAAATTCATATGAAGTTCTTCCAAGGTACCCAAAATGTATTAGTGGAAAATGACATTGAACCCAAAAGTATAAGCAATTATGTAAATAGAATGCAATGAAATTCTTGTAAAGTTTTGGCATCCAAAATTTATTTGTGGAAAATGACACCGAATACAAAAATACTAGCACTTGTGTACATATAATACAATTGAAGCCACTTGATTATTCATGTGATAGAGTACCATCCCATTTTTGGTACACAAGATAAAGTTTAAAAGAACTAAAATCAAATGTCTTCAACTTGAGTGCTTGTAACTGTTATTGTGTCATATGCACAATTAACTTTTCTTAGTAATATTAAACCTTATGCCGCATCATAGCCAATGTTAATTTTTCTATAAAAAAAATCAAGTTCAAGTAATTGTATACAGATAATAAATATGTAGAATTATAGGGTTAATTACCCCAATAGTCACTAAACTTTACCTAAAGTTTCCAGGGTTAATACCCTAAATAGTCACTAAAATTTGTCAAAAGTTCCAAAGAGGTCACTGAACTTCAAAACTTTCATAAATAGTCACTGAACTTTGCAAAAAGTTTCTAGGGGGTCACTGAACTTCAAAACTACGCGGTTAGTCACTGAACTTTCGAAACTGCAACCACGTCCATCACTAAACTTTAAAAATTACCTCATTCGTCACTAAACTTTGCAAAAAGTTTCCCAAATGGTCACTGAACTTTGCAAAGAGTTTTCTAGATGGGGAATTTTTTTTTGCAAAGTTCAATGACCCTGTAGAAATCTTTTACAAAGTTCAGTGACGAATGAGGTGATTATTAAAATTTAGTGATGGATGGGGTTGCAGTTTCGAAAGTTCAGTGACTAACTACGTAGTTTTTAAATTTCAGTGACCTGGTGGAAACTTTCGGTAAAGTTCAGTGACTAATGGGGTAATTAACTCTAAAATTATACATATAACATGTACTTTGTCGACAAAAGTTCCTTCGGGAGCCAAAAGCTCCGTAGCAAGCTTAACCGAGTCAATCACTAGAGCAAACTGATTGGTAGCCTCCCTAGCCCACGCACCACCAACATTAGGCGAGCCGTCGTACAGCACCAAGTGGAAAGCTTTGCATCCATTCCCTACCATGAATTTCTTAACCAACGCTCTATACTATCCTGGGTGATATCATCATGTACGGAGATGGCGTCGCAGATTGGTCGAATCGAGTCGAGGTCGACTCTGATTGCTAAACTCCCGACGGGCATCTTCTCGACGGCCGAATGGAGAAAACCGAACATTGAATCAAGTTGAACTAGCATCCATGCGGCTCGAGATCCGTGGCCATGCTCAGTTGCTACGTGGTAATACTTATCCAAACGACATTTTCCCCTTACCTTCCCCATTGGTGTGAAATTGGAAATCAAAACGATTATATACTAAGTGAAATTGAGGAAATACATGTTAATGGCCTTTAAAATCAACCGTATTTCAACTTTGGCCTTTGACCAATAAATAGTATTAAAAAAATCCAAAGCATCATTTTAAACAACTAAAAGGCAAAACTACCCCTCACTCTCACACTCACTTTGAAAGGACGAAAAACAGTCAAAAAAAGAAAAAATGGACCACACTACAGCTAGAAAAACCGACCACACCAACGGTTCCGACCACCACACCGACGTTACCGGGATCGGCACCGACAAACACAGTATAATATTGGGATCTAAAAACATACAAGACAACAATAGAAATGACATCATTCAATCATTCATTGCGTCCACATTACAAGGTTGAGTACACTAGTTATTGAGGCTACATCAAGTGCAAAACATATTAGGCAAAATGCATTATAGTATACGATAACGAACTTTAAAACGCAACAAACCATTGAGTTACCAATACATGATAAAACATTATGGAATCAACACTTGTTATCTTGAAACCATTCAGGGAACCAAAATTGTACTAAATGAACATTTAGTACATTATAGAATCAACACTTGTTATCTTGAAACCATTCAGGGAACCAAAATTGTACTAAATGAACATTGAAAAGAAATTCACACAAAGTTCTTCCTAGGCACCCAAGATTTATTAGTGGAAAATGACACTGAACCCAAAAGTATAAGCAATTACGTAGACAGAATGCAATGAAAATCATGTGAAGTTCAGTCACCCAAATTTTATTTGTGGAAAATGACACCGAACAGAAAAATTGTACATATAATGCAATCTAAGCCACTTGTTTATTCGTGCGATAGAGTACCATCCCCATTTTTGGTGCACAGGATAAAGTTTAAAAAGAACTTAATTCAAATTTCCTCAACTTGAGTGCTTGTAACTGTTATTGTGTCATTTGAACAATTAACTTTTCTCAGTAATATTAAACCTTATGCCGCATCGAAGCCAATGTTAATTTTGCTAAAAAAAATCAAATTCAAGCAATTATATATAGATAATAAATATGTAAAATTATAAATATAACATGAACCTTGGTGACAAAAGTTCCTTTGGGAGCCAAAAGCTCCGTAGCAAGCTTAACCGAGTCAATCACTAGAGTATTCTGATTGGTAGCCTCACTAGCCCACGCACCACCAACATTAGGGGAGCCGTCGTACAGCACCATGTAGAAAGCTTTGCATCCATTCTCTACCATGAATTTCTTAACCAACGCTCTACACTATCCTGGGTGATATCATCATGTACGGAGATGGCGTCGCAGATTGGTCGAATCGGGTCGAGGTCGACGCTGATTGCTAAACTCTCGACGGGCATCTTCTCGACAGCCGAACGGAGAAAACCGAACATTGAATCAAGTTGAACCAGCTTCCATGCGGCTCGATATCCGTGGCCATGCTCGTTTGCTAAGTGGTAGTACTTATCCAAACGACATTTTCCCCTTACCTTCCCCATTGGTATGAACTTGGAAATCAAAACGATTATATACTAAGTGAAATTGAGCAAAAAACGTGTTAATGGCCTTCAAAAGAAACCGTATTTCAACTTT